GGAGGAGGTTTTGTCCCATCCATTTCTTTAATTGTACTTTATTATTTGTCACTCATATGCATTGTATTTTATCCTTTTATTGCTATAGTAGTGATTGGATTGAATATATCTACATTACATTTTTAAAATATATTTTATTGATTTTTTACAGAGTGAAAGGGAAAAGGATAGAGAGTTAGAAACATTGATGAGAGAGAAACATTGATCAGCTGCCTCCTGCACGCTCCCTATTGGAGATGTGCCTGCAACCAAGGTACATGCCCTTGACTAGAATCAAACCTGGGACCCTTCAATCCTCAGGCTGACGCTCTATCCACTGAGCCAAACTGCTTACGGCTACATCATATTTTGATAACATTATATTTTATCCTTTTATTGCTATAGTAGTGATTGGATTGAATATATCTACATTCAGGTCCCAACTCACTACACTAATCAAATTAGAGGTTAAATTTTTACCAGTTTATCTTCTAGAATAGAACCTGCTGGATCACCATTGCTCTTGCTTCCAGAGATGCTGCCCCGTTTTAACTATTTTTTTTTTTAAAGGGATCAAGACTTTCAAATACCCACATCTTCCAGATGGAAGGTCTACTGGTTTGTGATTGTTCCTTATGTAAATATCTTAATATGAGATCCCTAAAATGAGGCTCTCCCAAAAGGCATTAATGTATAATCCCCTCTCTCTATTGCTGTAGTGGATTAACTCTGTATTCTCTCTGTGACTGGTTTGCTTCCTGAAGGCTACAACAAAAAGACTCGGTGCTCCTTAAACATGGAATTGGAAGTGTAATTGAATACTAGTATTTCCAAAGGACAAGGGTAAAAATGACACACAAAGCTGAGTATTTTATGACATGACTTTCTTAAAGAAGGACCCGTTTGAAGCCCTTTTATAAACCCCCATAAAATAGCAATTCAATAGAATAAGATTGGAGTAAAATCAGAAGGTAGTGCAGTGTCCTTTCAGAAACACAAAGAAACATGTAGAGAAAATGTGTTACCTGTTAAAAGTTTACAGAACTGTATTTGAAATTCATAATATATTTCAGTAAATCAGTGTGTATGGTTTTCATAATGTGTTTCATGATATATTTTCAATTTTTCCAATTTAATTGTTTGGATCTGTTGAATTACTTTTTAAGAGAAAGAAGCACTTTGCCATTTTTTATGTTTTTGACCATTCTTGGACTCCAATTGCCAGAAAGCTCTATTAAACCAGAAATCACTATCCTTCTGTGTTTAGAATAAGGACTTTCCTAAGGTTTTATTTAGCAAGGCCCAACGATGAATAAGAAGATATTTTGTTTCTGATGTGAATCACATCACCTTCTTTCTCACCTTGTCCTAAACAAGATTAAACATGGGTTTCTCCAGAAGGGAAATCAAAGAGTGGCATCCAAAGGAGTCCTGGTAGTTTAAGGGTTAAGGGAGCCGGTTGGATGCCCTGGCTTTGGGGATTTTGAGCTAGGCTTGGAAGGCTGGGGCGCCTCTGAGCGCCAGAACAGACCCTCCAATGAACACAAAGGAGGGTCTGGGGAATAGAAACCCAAATCCACTTGTAATCATACAAGAGATTCAGGCATAATTACTTGAGCAACCTAGATTAAGATTGATGAGTCTTTAAAGTGGCGCTTCAGATCGACCGCTTTGCCCTTTGGAAAGAAAAACCTCAGGGAGCCAAGGTGGACCCCTGACTCTGCTGGCTCTGAAGCGGAAGCTGCAGGCCCGAGACCCCAGCCAGGCCCCTTGCGGGCTCCAAGCGGGAAAGAAAGCAGTAAAATAAACGAAAGGGTTTAGTGTTCGTCTGACCAGGCAGGCAGTCACGGTCCAGGGTGTGTAGACTGACACTGACAGTTTGCTTCACATCCACCCCTTTTTAAGCGCGACGGAAGCCGGCCTAGTCCTCTCCGTGCCTCTGGCGACAGAAAGGCCGGCTTTGTGAGGCTGGTGGCGAATTCCTGGTGCTTGTCCCCGGAGCGCGGTCACCTCCACAGCCCGCGCCCCGCCTCCCGCGCTGCTCGCGTGGCTGTACGAGCTGCTCCGCGAGGAGCCGCCGCGAAGGGCCCTGACCTCAGTGTCCACAGGGGACCCTCCTTTTTATCGCTGCTTTGCTGTTATTGTGACTCCTTTGACTAAAATGCAAGTGAGGGGGGAATGGAAAGGAATGCAATGCGTCCTTGCTACCGAAGAATGGACGTTATTTCTGATTTCCTTGTCTGTAGTCCAGCTAAGAATGTCTCCCCTTCCGGGAATCTTAAACGAACTGCTAAGCAATCCCCTTTTGTAGTATTCTAATATGCGAAATTCTTAATTTTCAATTCTAACTCAGATGGAAGGGATTTGAAGCACCTTGGTAGACACATTGCCTAAAAATCTTTTGCTGCAGCTTGCTTAATTCCTCTAGTTTAAAAACTTGAGAATTAGAACTTTTCGGCTGTTTTCCTGAGAATCTTTTTGTTCCGATGTCTTAACAATTTCACCATCTTTTGACCGGTTCTCTGTTAGAAAAATCACTGCTATGAGTTTTGGTTTTTTTTCTACATAAGAAATGTATTTAATGTCCGTGTGCGCGCGCGTGTATGAGTACGTGGCACGCCTCGGGCCACCGATGTTAATCCTCCTGCAAGATGCAAACCCGTAGTGCCTTGGTCTTTCTATATTACCATCCCGCCGGCTTCACACCTCCCGCACAGCCCTTGGGGAACTCTGCTGCCTAGTTTACGGGGCTTTACTCAAGGACTGTTTCCTTCCAGCCGTGCTGACTGCCTAGGGTTTCGGACAGCCGGGGTGCTCCGTGCAGAATCGGGCCTGGTAGAGTCCGTACTGCACTTTTTAGTTAATAGCAGCGTCTCACCAACCATGTAGGATTTCTAGGAGGAGGTTGCAAACTCGTTTACTAAGGGTTACTTAATTCGGTTCTCTGGCCTATTGGGTTTTTATAAAAAGTATTTATTTCTAGTGTCGTTTTAAGGTAATTTGTGAAAGCTAAGCTGACCTTATCTCGCATGAAAGGAGCTTGCTACATCGTATAAGCACCATCTTTTTGGTGCATCTTTAAAAATAAAAACCTGTGATACCACTCTGGGAGGAAGCCAGAGTCACAGGGACTTAGCCTGACTAGAATGCCCTTGTCTTTCAGGCCCAGTGGTCCTCAGCACGCCTGCCCAGCTCATCGCTCCCGTGGTGGTGGCCAAAGGGACTCTCTCGATCACCACGACAGAAATCTACTTCGAGGTAGATGAGGATGACCCCGCCTTCAAAAAGATCGACTCTAAAGTGAGTTAAAGTGATTAGGCTACAGTACTGGTGGCTTTGTGGGAGGAAGTGTTTTTCAATTTTGCTGGGTTTTAAATGACAGTGGGGGAGGGGAGCAGATTTCCATCTTTCTCATAGAAAATAAAATGAGTGAAGTAACGCATGCTTTATTTTATGGGATTGAAGACTATATTAACGATTTTAAATTCTGTATTACCAGAGCAGGCACATTTTAACAGTCTGTCTGTGAGTGCCTTTGTGTGCATTTGGGTAGATTTGGTAGTTAAGCCAACTGCTCCCAAGTCCCTGTGGTACAGAATCTCAGGCTCTCTGAGAAGACTGGGAAGGATTTTATGTAATTTCTTAGAGATCACTTTTAATTTCCAAAAATGTAGATTGCAGTGTGAATTATTATTGATTGAAAGGTTATAAGGAAACCGCAGGGAAGGGGTTACATTTAGATATAAATTAATCTCCATTATTACATCCGTTTTTTATTTCCTGAAATAAGAATGGGTTTTACATGTGAATTTAAAAGGAAGAGAAACTGATTCTCTGGAAAGTTTTGACTTAAAATGTGTATATACTAGCGCTGGGATGTTTAAAGTTTGTATTCTTCTCTGGGTGTAATGCAGAAAATACACGTTTGGAGAATTTGAAATGCATATTTTATTTGTTTTTTATGTCTTGTTTAGATTTAAAAACCTGAATATTAGGGCAACTCTACACCTCTGCACTTTCTTCTGCAATCAATTTTATTGTTATTTTAACTTGTATGTATGTACAATTTGTAAACTTTTTTCCTGAGGTTAAGAATTCAAGAACAGAAGTGTCGTGCTAGATATTTAAGAATCATTTTACAAAAGTCTTCCTTTAAAGTAGTTTTCAGAGACAATTATTCTAAAATAGTCAAAGACAAATGCTCCCATAGATCCAGAACTTTATCCTTTCTATGTAAATTTTATATAGAAATAAAGCATTATAAAATGCTATTTGTAGAATAGCAATTAAAATTCTAAAATTTACCCCCACTTGAATTAACTAATAACCTTAAGGCCATAGGTGATTAGTTCTTCTCAGCACTTGTTGACTATTAAAATACTCTCTGAAGGATTGTTACAGGACTTTTTTCACTTCTAGATCCAAAAGAATTGAATTTTACAAATAAGTGTAAATATAATGTATTTGACTTTAAATAATTTAAAGTTTGTCTTTATGCTTTTATTATTAGCTAGCCCTATAAAGTAAAAAGAAATTTTGTATTTCTGATTAATTTACTCAGCTATTTGAACACTGCATAAAATAAGGTCTGACATTAACTGGTCAGAAATTATCTTCATTTTATTAGCTAGTATAGTTTTCATTTACAAATTTCAAAATTTTCATTATGATTTTGATTAGTCTGTGAGTTAGTCTGATGTTTAACTTAGCAGTCTTCACTAAATTTTTTCTTTATATCATCAAAAATGGCACAGAAATACCAACCTAGAAGAGCAAGCTTTCATGGGTAGATTTAAATTGTGTCTGTCATGGAAAGAAATAGTCTTGTAAGTAAGTTAGAAAGTGAGAGTATACTGTTATCTTCTGTAGCTCTACAAAAAACATTGTAATGTTTAAAATATTCAAGTGGGTTCAATATTCAAAATGAAGCATTACATCTTTTCAAAGAAAAATAATTTAAAGTGACACACAACTTTTATTTTACCTTTTTATTAGCTTCTAATTAAATAAAAACCAGCAAGAGAAATTAAAATCTAAATCCCAAAAGTAATTATCCAGTGTATTTCAAGTGCATTTTTCAAATATATAATTCAGATATTCAAGCGTTATTATATACGCTGAATTCAAATTTCTTTGACTATATTTAAATAACATTTCAAGTATATTTATGGAATGTTAGAAATAGAACAAGCAATATATTTGAAACAAAATGTAAACTTTTTAAAGTTCAGATACTTTCAAAGACAGATAAAGTATTGGGAGGAAATCTACCTTTAAATGGTATCTTTTTAGAGGAAAGTGTCTGGAAGTATCCAAAATGGCAATTTAACTTCTGTTCACCAAATCACAAAACACAAACATCCACACTTCAAAGACAATGTGAGATCACAATATTTGTTACAAATAAAAATATACATTACACTTTCCTTCAGATGGCATATCCAAATCGTGTTTACTCACAGACAGATGCACCTAAGTCACCAAGATTGCTATAATCCTTTGATAGTTAGTCAGAGTGTTCCCTGTAGTCTTGCATTACAGCTGGGTTGTTTTCAGGGTGTCATTGTGTACTTTCCAAGAGAATTATGAAATCCTTTGTAAAGAAGTCTCTAATACTTGTGGGTTGGGGTTTTCCTTTATCTGCTTTCCCCACTGTTTTTCTCCCCTTGGAGGGGTGGGTGAGAATGCCTAAGCATTGTATTATTCCTTTTTAAGGAAGAGATTGTTTGCACTGTCAAGTGGTATATTAGGTATCGAACAGGAAGTGTACACTTAATTAGGATTTTGAGAAGACTGGTAACGTTTCGGCTGTTCTCTAAAGTTTTTCCAAACTTTTTGGGTTGGTCAGGATCTCTCTTGCCAGTCGCCACGTTTGTTTGGCAGCGTTCTCTAGCGCCGAGTGAGGTTTGCCTTGAAACAGGTCTAGGTTAGGTAGGAAGTAGTGAGGGCACCGCCGGCACTGCAGACAGGAGATAAGTTGCAGCAAAATGCCGTTGAGCCGATCGCCCAGGCAAGACTCGTCCCAGTCGGACTCCCGGGGATGCTTTTCACACTCATAGGAAACCAGAGTCTTCATGTGGTAATTGTTCAGGGGCTGGCCAGGCAGTTCCAAGTGGCGGTCCCGTAAGGTTTTGAGGATGGACAGGCATTTCTTTCTGCAGCCCCCCATCTGCAGTCTGTTCTCAGCTTCCGCGAATTGCAGCACCCAGGCGTCGCTCTCCGCCGAGCTCTGCTTGCCGGCCAGGGAGTGGCACTCCTTGGACAAGAGATTGAACCCTTCGGCTTTGACCTCCGCCACCCGGTTGGGTCCGGGCCAGGGGATGTGGGGAAGTGGCCAGTGGGCAGCACTCCTCGGCCAGATCCCGGTGCATTTAAATGCAGGGGTGATCTGCACCACGTACCGATCTCGGATTCGCAGTTTCACTTCGCTTGTGTCTGCCACCATCTTTACCACATCCCTGTAGCTACATTTGTCCACTGCTTGAGCCACCAACGTCTGAAACCTGGACCGGATTTTGCGCGCCGAGAGGTAGCCGGAGGCGGTAATGAATTCCACCCAGAGGGACATGCTCCTTTTGCGCCCGTCGCTCAACTTCAGCACCGCGCAGCCGGGCAGCGAGCCGTCATCCACAAAGTTAAAAACCCCCATTTGGTTAAGGTAAAGCACCACCTCAAATTCGGTGGGGGAGATGACCTCCAAGCCCTCATAGCGGTTGTCCATTTCGTTGAGGGAGCTGATAAAGCGGGGCTCCTGCACTTCCACTTCTTTCAGCACGTCGGATACGACTTTGCAGACTTCCCGGATAGTTTTAGCAATGGCAGCTTTCCTGGCTTGGCATTTTTCGTTGTAGTATTTGTTCAGATGGTACACCAGCTTGGCCTGGGCCGCGATCATGTTGGGGCAGAGATCCGGATTGTACACCGGAGTCTCGCAGTAGGCTGTGGGATCCAATGCGGCTGCTAGAGCTGGAGCCAACTTCGTGCAGAAACGGCCCAGCGCTCTCAGAGCGTCTCCAAACCGGTCCGGACGCGCCGCTGCGGGGGTTCTAGTTGCCGCGGTCCCCTCCTTGTGTCTAGGCGCCCAGCGGCTCTTAAAGTGAAACACTGTCCCCCTCCCCCTTTCTCGGCCTCTCTTCCTCTTTTAAAGAATCCTGGTGGGAGAGAAACGCACGGAGAGATCCCTTTCTCAGTTATAAAAACAAAAGTTGCGCTGATACCCAGCAAAGCTCTTCAGGAGTCAAAATAAACCCTTTCCGTCTTTATTTACCCTTTCCGAGAGTCATTGTGTGTGCAGGACTGTTAATCAGGTGGAGGAAAAGTGTGCTGAGTGTGTCAGGGGTGAGTGTGCGTGTGTAGGTCAGAAGAAGCTGCTGTCGGTTTGTCTCAGAGCCCAGACGCACTCGTGTGGAAATTATAAAGGCAGGGCCAGGCAGGCTGGCGGCCAATCGCCACTGGGCTCGTCACGACAGCCTCCTTTGGCTCCAGCCAGGCTAATTAATCCCCCTCATGGATATAAGCACAGGAACTAAAGGTAGGAGGCTGCTGCAGGCAGAAACCCACCCAGTCCACCTAGACACAAGATGAATCTCTCAGCTTTGGTATTACTTGAAGCATACTGACATTCTGAAAAAGACTTGGCCAAGTGGTACTCTTGGTGCTGAAAGCCGTTTGTCTTTTTACCGCTGAAATGCATATACAGGTGTATGAATGGTCATCCATCAATTAGTGGACTAGTTGGGGTTTTCTAAGACAAGAGTCACTAACTTACATTTAGAGGAAGAAGATCATTAATGTCTGTTAATCCTGGAGGTCTTTTAAAATACAAGTTGAAAGTTTGCTCTTTCCTGATTATGCAGGTTGGTTTTCTGGATGTTCCTATATGTTATAATGATTTTTAAAAATATTATGCAGTGTGTTGGGGCAGATCATGTTGGGGCAGAGATCCGGATTGTATTTGTCCCTCATTTGCAGTTATTGAGAGGGATCCAAAAATTATTGCTAAGTGTGTTAGATATCGTCTACCCCACTTTAAGTTAGGATGTTTTAAAAAATGTTTAGTATACCCCTCCCTCCTCTTTGTACTGTGGTAGGCTTGCCCAACATTACAAGTGGGACACTAAGTTTTGTATGCATTGATAGAAATATTTGAAAAATCAATTACCTCTGTGATGGAGAGATTATTAACATATGGGCATAATGAGCTGTATGTGAAATTCAAGAAAGATAATTGAAATGAGACCCACTGGCAGACAACTTTCCTGAAAATTTGCAGATTTGGGTTTTCTTGCTCATTTTTACAGATGTATAATTAAGGATATATCTCCTCTCTTAAGTGTCCTTAGTGCTGACCTGACAATAGACTTCTAATTTTATATGATTCTGTGTGATTTGATTAAAGGAAAATGATTAAAGATTTTAAAAGAAAATTAATTTACAGTCATCTAGGATTTTTAATTAAATATCATTTTGGAAAAATTAGAAAGAAATAAACATTTCTAAATTTGGAACCTTGAAACAGAGGAGGAAATGGATTTATATAGAATTTTTTTTGTGGTACCAATTATGTCCTTAATGTACTCGTAAAGGAAAGAAATACTACTTAGAGTTATGTGGTGGTTTTAAAACCTAGGCAGATTTTTAATCGCCAACCTTTAATTTAGATGCCCTCTCTTCCAAATTAAGAATATTTCCAGCAAAATCCTCTGATGCCTGGTAATAATTTTGTAGGCGCTTTCTTTCAGAACAGCTTTTAACAAGATCTTGTTCAGGGCCCCCAATTTTTACTCAATCTTTTGATTGGGGGAGGGGGGATGGCAACAGCAGAGCATCACAAAGCCACCTATTATTTACTTTCTCCTTATCCAAGAGTGATACATTCTGATTTAGCTTAAAATAGTACATTAGATTTGGAGCTTAAAGCATTCATCTGCACTATTCCCCGAGAACCTTCTATTCCCTTAGGGACTGGGGTTGGGATCACCGAACGCCCCTCCTCACTTTGCCGGCTTTGCGGGTGAATGCACTGCTACCTTTTGGCAGTTGGAAGAGGAAGCAAATCTGAGCGGAAGAACCCACGGCCACTAAGGCAAAGATGTGCCTTGGTCTCTGGGGAAAAGCCACCTCTGTGTTTCATTCAGCGCAAGTCCCCATGTACTTCCCGATGGTCCCTTCTCTCCCGCTACTCCGCATTCCCGGGCCGTCCTTTCCCCTCTCTGTTCTCAGTCCCATAGGCTTTATTTCTGTAAGCCGTTATTTTAAAACCTTACTCTGTGTGCGGGTTTCTTCACGTCCGCTGAAAGCCTCCGTCTCTGCCCAGGCACCTCTCAGCCCTGGGCCCACATGTGGTTGAAGCCAAATCGGCGCGTGCTTGTCGCTGGCCGCGGCCCCTGCGCCCTGCGCGCTCCCCCTGGGGTTCAGGCTAAAGTTGCTGGGACCAGACTCACCTCTCCATTTCTTGGGCCACCTGCATATTTCCCTGGTTATCGAGAACCTGACGCAGCCTGGGTCGTTCCGGGGACCGTGGCAGGGCCGTCCAGTCGGGTCTAACGCGAAGGGCGGGAGGGCGGCCGGCGGGCCTTGCTGCAGCCAAGCGCGCAGGTGGCGCATCTTTGGGGCGCACTGTGAGGCTTAATTGGGTTAAAGCAGCTAAACACTGAAGCACTTTGTGCAAACTAATTGGTGTAACTGGGGCCTTTTCCTAACGATTTGCACTTTGAAAAAGAAAATGGATGTTGAGAAAAGGACTAAGCGTTAGTTCTCCAGTGTTCCACGAAAGTGAAGTCCTTCCGTTTCAAGGACACCGGGAGTGTTTACTGATCTGCTTCCTATAGCACCCTGCTTCGCCCAGGGCACTGACAGTGATTTACATAACATAGGACTCACCCACCCGCCATAATCTCTGTGGGTAAACTGTAATACTCCAGTGCAAATACTGCTTGTTGCTGCATCACACTGATTTTCTATTACACCGAACACGTGAAATGAATTGCTTTCTGTATCTGAACCTTTCCAAAGATCTCATAAACCTCTCAACTATTGAAGGGAAAATCAAACTGTTCTGAGGAGTGTGCTTTCTATCCCTTACTTCTCCTTTTTATTGAAATAACGTATGGAGAGGAACTTAAAAAATATAGTATATTTTAGGTATAATTTAGCCTTTTTTAAATCAAGGTTTTGGAGTTAGATTTGTTTTATGGGAGTAACTTAACTATTGTATAGTAAAAAAAAATTTTGAAATGTTATTTGCCCTATTGAACTACTTACTTCAAATGATTACTTAATACATGGAGATAGCTTAAAATCAATTTATTTACGTATATGAAAACTTGATAAAACAATTTGAATGACACCAGCCTTATATGTTTTTACTATGAATAAAACCTTGTGTGTCCCATGCTTTAGGATATGTGTTAATTGTTTTCATTGGTATGCTATGCAGGCATGTTTGACATGAGCTAATAATAGAATGATAATTGAAGAAAACTGACCTAATTGAAGGGGGGAGGGAGGAATCAAGAGTCTCATGATTTAATGAAAATCTGAGATGCTTACATTTGAATGGTATTTGGAATTTTAAGGACTAACCAATTCGATTTTTTTTTTTTCCATTTCATTTACCTAGTTTACTAGGCAGCCTTGATTTAAAAGATACCACTTAGGAAAAAAAGTCCAAAGCAGTCACAAGCTCACCATTATCATAAATTTTGGTACTTATTAATGAATATAAAACAATCAAATACTGTGATTTTTAACAATTCAAAGCATTCAAAATAACAATGGCAAAATATATTTTCTTAAGTGCTATTTCCTAGGTAACTTATCCCCATTTTAGACCTGCTTATATTACTGGATAAACAAAGTAATGCAAAAATAGTCACCTTATTAGAGTTAAAGAAAAAGTCTATTATGTTGAGAAATGTAGAACTGCAAGGTTTCTGTTTTTTAAAAAAATCTAATTTGAATTACATGTTCATAAATTTAAGCACTTGTGACCTTTCATCTGGAAAAATTTATCTGTTAGAGGATATGCACACACATGTTAAATGTTCACAAAGATATTGTTTTGTGTTTTTTCATTATCTGCTGGTTGCTATTCTGTTCCCAAATATTCATGAATTTAAAGTTTTATTTTTTAATATGTGCTTATTACACTGGGGAGATAAAAAGAATATGAAGTTGAGTTTATTGAATTATTTTTATCCCTGTTGCTGGAGTGGCTTTGAAGGCTCATTGTAAGCATTTGATTTCTACCCACCTCTTCTTCTTCCTTTTTTTTTAATGTACCCAGGCTACTTCATCTGTTTTATTCTGCCAGACACAATATATTTCCTCTTTTTTTTTTTTTACACTAGAGAAATTAAAGACAGATATTTGTACAGGGTTTTCTTTATGTGTCACATTAAATAAAGTAAAATAGGGGGAGTTTTTCTGGTAATCTAATTTGATGACATCCATACCTTTTTTCCTAGTGTGACTACTGGTATAATAACATTTGAAACAAAGTAACTCGAGAGCTTCAAAAGTCTCAGTGATTTCTTGAAATAGTTATTTTATATTTTAATATCAGGTTTATGACAAAGTAAAGCAAAGAATTGAGTTCACTATACAATTTAGACCCTATTTTATTTCTTCAACCAGAGCATCCCGATAATTATGGTTAATTTTTTTTAAGTATTTCCTTAATTCTTCACTTGAATGATCAATGATCATCCTCAGTTTTCCTCATCCTTATAGTACACAATCAAATAGGTTTGTAGTAGGGAGTACTTTTATTTTTCCTACAGTGTTGCTTAGTAAACATGTTCTTGGTGCTAATAAATGTTGAAAAGAAAATAACTCTGAGATTAAAACTGAAAGTTGGAAGTGTACTTACTTTACAAGAATTTTTACCACCCTTGGATTTACAGATTTGAGCCAATGCTGGATAACTGTCCAAATCTTTTCTTTGGATAGAAAACTAAATTTAGAGCCTGGGTTATTTAGATAATTGTCTCAGTTTCTTAACTTCATTTGCATTAATATGTACTAATTGCCCTGGGGAGATAAAAAGAATATGAAGTTGAGTTTATTGGATTATGTATCCCAACACAGAGATACAGGATATTTTAAGTTGCATCTATAAACTGAAAAACTTGGGGGTGAGAATTATCAATGAAAATAGTTTCATACTGCTCAAAATAAATATGATCTAACCCTTTCCAAACATATGAGGGTATTGGGGCTAGTCATTCATTGATTATTATGGAGCAAGTGTTGATTCCAAATTCTAATTCTTCATACAGCTTTTAAAGGTAATTTTTATTTTTAGAAACTCTGAAATTAAATTCATATTTTTAGATTTCAGTTTATAACTTTTATTTGG